AACGGATATCCGAATAAATTCAGATTTGGATATCCGATGGATAAATGGATAAACGGATAATGGATAGAAACACTAGTAAAGTTATCGGGCACGCCTTCAACACCGTCAACACCGTTAAAAAGTAAGTTGATAGGGATGGCTAATTGATATTCACCAATATTAGCACCATCACAAGGTGCCCCTTCAAACCCGACACCAGTGATGACTTCATCCTGTACGATACTTTGAAGATATATTTGTGAATGATTAGAGAGAGGTGCTGTTCCAAATGATTTAACAACTACAGGCGTTGTGGGATTTGGATTGTTACGTAAGTAAAGCACCGCAAGAAGCGCAAAAGTATTATTGTGGTGAGGTGGGTACAATTTGATAGCTAAATAAATTTGGATAGTAGTCCGTTGAGAAAAATATTTTTCTACCAATCCGTGTAAACTGTTTAAACTTTCAGTATTGCCAATCTCAACCACCATAGTAGGATATGGATTTCCAGATGAATTAACTGCTTGTGAAGGTGGAGATTGATGACGATTCCTTGGTCGAGCACAAATATCAGGACGATAGACATTTCTTGTATCCACAATAACATCTATTTCACCAATAACTCGCAATTGATCACTCCAATTATACATAATACCTTGTAGTTAATTGGTTAGTGAACTCCTTAATTTTTTGTATTCTTTTTGGAATAACAATTTCTGGATTCTCATCGTACCATACCTCAAGTAGGAAAATTCTATTATCTTGACATATGCATCTTTTTAGACGATCACGATTAACAATATCTTCGAGTTTTTTAACATCTTTATACCAGCTAGTATTATGAAATCGGTGCTGACTTCCTTGAACTTCTAATGCAATTCGATATTTTTGGAAAAGGCATCAAATTCTAATCCATTCAAAAAGGAAGGACGATATTCAATTATCGGTTTTTCATTAAGAATATCTTTAGTTATTTGAATGCATTTAGTTTGGAATTTACGATTTTTCTTAAACCTCAATTCTTTTTTAATATCCCCCCTTGCAAAATACCTAGTACAAAAAACAAGATCTATATTAATTAAATATAGGTTTTTTTAAAATTTTTAGACTGCTTATCATGAATGAGAAGTATGCATATAAATGAAGTTTCTCTTTCTTGCAACACAGACCCACTGCTGTATAATATACCAGGTCTTTTGGTCAGTGCACTACGGTAATTAAATTCCATGTTCGATTCAAGACAAACAAAATGCTGCTCCGATACTATCGTTAATTCGAGACGCACATGGGCGTTAATTCGAAGCTGCATATGCTATTTTTGAGGGACCCGATTTTCAAAATAACGCCCACGGGCGTTATTTAACGCCTATACGGTAAAAAAAACCTGATGCGTTTCTACTGACTCATCCCGTATATCCATAATGTATTCACTAATAACAAAAAGGTATAAAAGTACTACCTTTTATCTTCATTACAAAAATAACTCAGAATTTAGCATTGTAAAGTGTTTCGTTCTACTAATTCCCTCAATAAGTAAATCTATAATTAGTAACTAAATCAAAAAAAATTGTGACGTAACCTAGAGCTTTATTGGCCATAATTACTCAGAATAAATCTTTCTACGCCTTGATCATAGAATTCCACTATTTAGTTGCACTATTTTTGATAGTTTTAGGTTGATAGTTTTAGTGTAGTGTTTACAGACCGTTCCGATCCATATATATTCCAAAGTCATTTTTCACAGTCATCTTCTTAAATTATTTATTAAAGTTGATCAGAAGTAAATTTTGGTCATATTTATAAGATAAAATCAAAAAATATTCTCTAAAATTCAAAATCTTAAAAAAACGGAGGGTGCTAACGACACAGCCTTAGTTAAGGTTAGTGTTAGAACATTGTAGAAGTGTTCTGGGTGTCGGTAGCAATCCCCTGAAAAAACCGCCAAAGTATGGATACAACACTAACATAATAAATTCAGCCGTCGTTATGATTTTTGATTTTCTTAGTCCGCGCAAAATTAATTAATTGGTTTTCATAATCCGGCCGAGGTAAATTTTGAAATCTTCCAAAAAAAAAACTTTTACTTCTGCTATCATAATTTATGAAACACATAAAATTTAGCCGAATGATGTTTCTACTGATTCGATTAAGTCTAATTATTTCGGTAATATTAGATTCAAATTAATGCATATTACTTAAGATCCGGTGATTAATGTAAAATGTAACAAAACTTTAGTACGCACAGTACGTACGTGCATATATTTATGGTAGATAAAGAAATATGATATCTTTGATGATAAATAATCGAAAAAATTTTAGAGCTATCAATTTGACAAATAGCCAACCACTTAGGTGTTAGCATATCTTCTATAAGTCGTATTTTAGGTACTTTCAAAGATATAGATGTATTGAAATTTTTAATCGCTTTACGAAAACTACGTTCATTAAACATGAACGATATAGAATATCCGAAAACTTTAATCCTGATTGGTATTTATTTTCAATCCGAGATAGAACTTTGGTTAAACGTAAAATTAGTCTTATGACAATTTAGTCTATAAATCGATTTGGATATACAAAGAAAAATCTATAGTACTAAAAACGTGTTTGTCTCTGTCGACATTAATTAGAAACACACTTGTTAATGCTAAATAAATATGTAGATCTATTTAGGAAATACTACGGACACAACGGCAGCACTTATTTGCGCGAGTAATATAAACCCTTAAAAAGGAAATGGCCAATCGGAGTGCACAAAATTTGACTGTTCCGGATCAGCCCGACATGAAATCCGAAAACGTGAACAGGAGGAAACGTTGTTACAGTCAAGGGAGAGACTTTAGATCTTCGTAGCCAATTTAGCAGAGGACTGTAAACATTAATAAGAAATGAAC